GTCACACGTTCTCCCTCCAGCTTCGTTTTCATAGCCTCTCTCTCTCTCTCTCTCTCTCAGTGAGGCTGCAGCCAGTGCTGCAACCAGGACACACAGCCTCCTAAAATCTGCAAGTATCACGCACACTCTGCTCTGGACAGCTTGCAGGGCTACAAAAATGTGCCTTTTCAGTCAAGCCGAGTCTTTGTCCACAGTGATACTTAACGCTAAAGCTTTGGAGAGCTCTGTTTATGAACTCTAACCAGATTCATCCGGCTAGATGACGAAAGCAAACAGACAGAAAAGGGACAGAGAGGCCAAGGAGACAGTGAGGGGAGAGAGAGAGAGAGAGAGAGAGATTTAGAGGAAGAAAAGAAGATAAGAGAGAAAAAGACATGGTGTGTTTTGTGGCTTGAAACAGAAAAGAGAACGAGAGGAGATAAATGAAGGAGAAACAAATAGAAAGGGAGATGAAAAACTGTTTTTTTTTTCTGCTGCTGTTGCTACTGCTCACGGCGTGATACTGTACCGACCACGCTCCAATGGGAAAGACTCCCAGAGCGACAACAAAGGACACAAGAGGAGCCGGCTCCATGCGAACTGGGCCTGTCTGCCCTGCACGGCCAGGAGAAAGTAGCACAGACACACACATTTAGACACAGACAGAGACAAACACACACACACACTCAACACTGCTCACCAGAGCAGCTGCTGCCACAACAATCCCCCTTGTGCTCTTTTAATAGGGACGGCCCGCCTGTTCCGCCAACAACAAGGAGCGGAGAGAGAGACAGACACAAAAAAGTGTCACAACAGACCAACACACATATTGCGAGAGCCTGGCTGCGACTGACACCATTTTCATAGCAGCAACATGAAAAATGTAGAGTAAAAAAAAAGGGGGTATGTGGGTTTAATACGAGGAAGTGGGTTTTGAACGACACTCTCTTTTTAACTGTCTAAAGACACTCTGCCACAGCAGAAAGCAAAGAAAATCAATACACATTAGTGCTTCTATTAGCTGTTGGGTTCAGTGTATCCCTGCTTGCAACTCCTTTATGTTTTAATATTAGAAACTGAACCCCAAAAAGAGTCAGCGTCACTCTAGAAATAAAAAATATAAATGGTAAACTCCTTATGCAGCCATGTTTTTATACACTGGAGAAAAGATAGATTGAGGCATGGATGGAGCTCTCCCCTCCTCCTTTCCTCCAAAGCCCGGCTGCCGGCTACTCATCCAGCGCAGTTACATAAACATGCTTAGCAGCAGAGGACAGAGGTGGACACACACACACACACACACACACACACACACACACACACAAACACACACACACACAAACTCATAGAGCTTTCCTGCTGCTGAGCTGAATAAAGAGATGGATGGAGATGCAAAGTGGGAGGAATAAGTCAAGGATGCTAAAGCAGGCAGGTGCACAAAGAGAGAGTTAACCAAAGCACAATAAAACAAAGGAAAATATAAGTGTTATACTGACATAGCACGGCTGTGCATGATACACGTGAGTCCAATAAAAGTCTTCCATCTCTGACCGCTTCAAGTTCAAATGCCTTAGAGGATGCTCTTTGGCTGCTACATCAAAAGGTGAGGACAGTTTTTTGTTGGTCAATACCTTTATCTAACAACTCAACCTGTCCTTCAGAGGGCACAGAGAAGTACTGCATCAAAAAAAAAAAAAAAAAAAAAAAAACAGCAGCAGCATCACCGCTGAGCCTAAAATAGCTTCTGCACGCACCTACGCACGACAGCTCGACAACCACACACTCCTGTAACTGCACTGCTACTGAGCAAACGCTCACAGCTGATTTACAAACAGCACACACAAACACACACACACAAGAATGTCTTTGACCACACTGAAAACAAAATGACAAAGTCAAACATATCAGAGAAATACATAAAAGTACATTTATATCAGATGCATTGAAAGACAGAGCATCACCAGATTACTCACAGCAGACAGAGCTCAGATACATGGTCCTCCCTCAGCTCTGAGGCAGGGATGAAGGGATAAAAAAAGGAAAAAAGCTGCCAGGGAAAAAGAGGCTGAGCTGGCAGTGAGGATGGAGAAAAACAGTAAGAAAAGCAGAGGGAGACAGAGGCAGGAGGATGACAGACATTCCTCTAACTCCTGCAGCACCTGGGCCGTGAGTGGGTGGCTGTCAGCGTCACAGAGTCGCTGAAGACCTGCTCACGTCACACTTTTCATGAATGGAGCTGCCTGACGCAGAGAGGACGCGGCCCAGAGAGCAGGGGAGGAGGGGGTGTGTGAGAGGGGGACGCAGGAGGGGTGGAGACTTCTGCACCGACTCATAGAGGAGGAGCAAATAGAGATGAAGAGGAGAAGAGGAGAGAGGGAGGGAGGAAAAAAAGAATGAGGAGGGGGGGAGGATGTATTTCAAAGCAGCACCAGCTGGGAACAGCAGGTTCGGCTGCGGTGGCGTCTCTGTAAGTAGGACAGACCGTTTCTGCACAAGAGAAAATCCCTTTGTACAAAATCAGCAATCAGTTCTCTGCATTTCAATGATATCAACATCCCACATACTGCACCACTGCATCATGTGTCCTGTATTGTATATAACAGGGGTTTGTATAATGCCAGACTACCACATACAAAATGATCCTTCTTCTTAAACCAAAGGTGACATCCCTCTTTTTCTTTCTAAAGCCCAAAATATTCCCTTTATTATCACAGAAAACACATAAATGCACCAAATACTTGCATCTAATACGATACAACCTGATCTCTTCAGTAATAATGATAAAAGATAGCCAGCCATTTTTTTTTTACATTCTTTTAAATGTAGATTATGTACAAACTGCCACACAGTTGGGTGCCTGATGGATAGATGTTAATCATCAGATTATTGACCTACATTTCCACCACAGGGTCTTCATGCTCTGCACAACTTATACTGTAAGTATTTTTTGGCAAACGTACAACATTCAATGTTCTCTGGAGCTAATAAAACATAAATACTTTAAGTCTCGTACGATACAGAGCAATTAAATCTCATATAGAACCACCAGAAATGAGTCCAGAGATAAGTAAATTCCCAATCCAAGTCCGAAGGGCTAACAGTGAGAGAGAAACTAAAGGTCAACGCCAGAATATCAGAAAAACGGTTCTTTTCTCTCCTCAAAAGGTCATGTCATGCCTCTCAACAGCCCTCGCAATCCAGCTATAGGTTCATGTCTGTTACTGGAATAAACAGATGTACGTTTAATCTGATCTTGTTATGAACAAACAGTTTCTGGTTACCGGTAAGTTTCTTTAAGTTATGAATGTGAGTTTGATAACTAAGACGCGATCGAAGAATACTAATACTAATACGTTTCTGTTATGGGTAGAGTTTGACTCACAAAATGGTCAGAAATGTATATAGTTTTCTTGGATAAGTGGAAATACATACAGTCTGTTAATTTACATTAAAAGTTAAGTGATTTATATTCAAACAGTCTTGTAGACAAAGAAGAGCAGAGGTAAGTTTGGCATCAGGATTTAGGTCAAAAAGAAAAATTACAGTGTATTCAGCATATAGTAAAATAATAGAGTATTTACACACATCTGGGAGATTGTTTATAAGAGTAAGGGACCACCCAGGATGCTACCCTGAGGAACCCCGATATAACAGGCTATAGAGAGAGATGTAACATGACCAATTTTAACCACTTAAGACATGTTAGATAGATATGAAGAGATCAACATTACCACAGAAGAAGAGAATTGAAATTAACTCTGTTTGTTCAGTAGAATCTGATGATTCACTGTATCGAAGGCTTTACTTAAGTCAATAAAAATGCCTTCAGTGATGTGACCTTTAATGAGCGAGGAAATGTTTTTGGTGAATAATAAAAATGCAGACATGGTTGATCAGGTGAAACGGAAACTATATTGGAGGTCACTGAGCAAATTAATCTTCAAGATGGTTGCTTAGCTGATTGAAGAGAATTTTCTTAAAAAATTGTAAAAGTGATGGGAGAATGGATATTGGCCTGTAATTTCAAACTACAGTTGGATCATCAGATTTTAAAAAAGGGGGTGAATTGAGCAGTTTTCCAGATGTAGGGGAAAGCACAGGTGGGGGATTAGAGGGAGTCTCAAAATGGTATGTTTATTCTATAACAGATAGAAAAAAACAATAATTGAAAGCTATATTTCAGAGTGAGTGATAAGAGTATCCTGTAGACAAATTCAAAAATGATTTTCTTTTTCTTAGTTTCTCCAGTAATTACTTTAAGTGTCTACTACAGAGTTTTAGGTTAAGAAGCAGCTTGAAGAATTAGCTCTTAGAAATAAACAGACTACATGTTTCTAAAGCTCTGTATATTGATTTTATTCTCTAGTGTTTTTGATGACCTATACAATTAAAAACATTAAGCCTTTGAGTAATTGAGAATTTATCGGTGGTAAATTATTCTGCTGAGAATGTACCTTGTAGACAGTAGTACATTTTTTCCATATGGACTCCACAATGTCATGTTCAGGGTTTTCTAAAGGCAGTTCAAATCAATATTACTAATTTCAGCATTAAACTGAGATAGTTTTGAATTTGATATTTTAGAGAGAAATTGGCAAGAATGGATTTTTGGGGATTTAATAATTTTCCAAACTGCATAAATAAGTGAGAAATCTGATATCGCTGTGTGAATAATTTCAGACAGAGAATATTTAGATGGTTGATTTGTAAAGACAAGGACTGAACTGTGTGTGTTGCTGATTCTAGTAGGCTCCTTAATTAATTGATAAAGACCATGCTTTCCTGCAGTAGCTTTCACAGGCTTTGACAAGCTGTCATTCCAATTCATATTTATGTCACTTTGATTCAGGTCCTGGATTAAGTTCAACATTTCCAATTAATAACAAAAATACAGACGGTGAAAAAAACAATTCAGACCTACTTAATGCAATGCTGAAAATAAAACTACTTTATTCAGCTGGTTAACTTCTTACTCTTACATTTGTGTGCATGAGTTTGTGAATGTACACACACACACTGACCTGTCAGGTTTGTTTCTAAACATCTCACAGGGTCTTCTGAGTGTAAAACTGGGCTCAGGTTCAGCTCTGCCTTGCTTCTCACCTGAAAACAAACAGAACAGAAATGAATGGACGTATAGGAAGAGAATGAGGAATGTCATGAATAAATATGAGTGGGTCCATAACTCATAATAAGAAGCGTTATAAAGGTATCACCCACTACACATTTCCAGGATGACTGAACTAGAGGGAGACATTGTGTGTGTGACTGGATATCTGTGTTAAATGTCTCCACTGGTGGCAGAGATTTAGACTAAAACCAATGACACTACATCAAAAGCGACTGATTGAGAGGGAGGGTCTGCCTGATAGGAAATGCTCCAGGAACAGATGCTCCACCCATCCTGTTTTTAAGAGCCCAAACCTCGGGGGTGGGGGGAATGAAGATGTGGGGGAGTTATAGTAGGAGTGTAATGATGCACTGAGGCTTGGGGGTTAGGCATACAGGAGCATTATTGTCCAATCTTCATCTTCAAGCCACACCCCAGCAGGGGACAAAGCTAGAGGGGGAGGTTTGGTATCCCGGGGCGAGGCTGAGTGGGAGGCTTCCAAACACGGTCTTTAAATGGCGTGAAATGACAGTCAAATGAGTCAAGGCACAGATGGCAGAGGATGCTGGCTCTTATGGTACTGACATTAGGGATTGGTGAGTGTGTGAGCACACTGTGTTGGATCTGCTAACACAACACCTTTTTGATGCAAAATGTCCAAAATTAAAATAATGTCATTCATTCTCCTGTGCCTGAAAAAGACAAGAGTGGGTGTAGGCATTGAACGTGCTATTCTTTCCTTGTTGCAGAAGACACACTCCTGTAAACATGTAGACTGCATTCATAAAAACACAGCAGGGGAATCCCCCAAACTAACAGCTCTCTAGTTAAACATTAGCAAAAAGAAAGAGAGAGACATTGGCTATACACAGTCACATGGAATCAAATACTGAACTATTTGTTTAGTGAGAAAGTCTAGCTCTGCTCTAGAGCCGTAATTCCGAAGGTCAGCAGATCACAAGCCTGTGTGCTCACGTGGAAACAAGCAAAGCCACATTGTATAAAAAAACATGCTTAACCTAGAACTTTCAAACAGAAATGAAGGCCTATTTAACTCCAGCAAAGACTGCTGTGTCCTAAACCACATCATCACACAAGGGTGTTTAAAAGAATGCACAGGATGCACCATGAAGATCTCTTTCACTTTGCTTTAGTCTTGATAAGACCACAAGGGAAAGTAATAACTTCCATATAGGGATGGCATATAAAAGAGATCTGGAGAAAATGAGGTCTTCATCAAACACGCTCTTATTCCCTTCATTAGGCATTGAGCTTTAGCTAACCACCATCGTCTCTGATTTATCAAAAGTTAGCTGAAGGCTAGCTGGGGCTTCATCTGATTGGCCTAAATGTTTTGAATGCAATCCAAATGTCACTGAAAATCAGACGTTCACATGCTGAGTGAGAATTAAATGCATGTGTACATATATGTAAATATTCATATTCTTGCATATAAGGATTTTTGGTGACGTTTATTATCACTGTACATATCCTGATGGCAATTATAGTTTGTTTGCAGCCATAATGCAAGCTCATTTTATATTTCCTCTTAAAGATGTGTTTGGCCCCTCTCACCATTCAGAGAGTTTTCTGTCCAAACAGATTCCGGTCAGGCCAATTGGGAGACTTAATACATATGGCCGACTGCACAGAGATGTGAATTTAAGACATTTAATTTGAAAAAAGAAGGAAAAAAGAAGTAGATGGCTGACACTGATGTTTCTTTCTTAGCCCAGCATGATGACAATATTAAACAGAAGTGTAATTATCTAACAGATAGCGAGTGTTGTCTGATCTGTGTTGTTGTTTTTGTGTTCTTGATTTACAGTAATTTGCCACCTGACAGCTGACTGTTACTTCACTTCTGCTGCTCAGAGAGCTTTGAGTTTCCTGAGGAACTTTGGTCCCCGTCTGTTGATGTTGGTTCTTGAAAAATAAAAAAATTAAAGAAATGATCCATGGCTTTGTTTGTTTTATAAATATTGTTTGCATTGACTGAACAATCAGCATTGATTTGTAAGCTATCTTATCTAATAAATAATGCAGGCATATTTTAAGACAACACAAGTAGGATCATTTTCAAACATACACGTTTAAAATCCAAAGGAATATAGTTAGCCATAGCTACTAACCAACAGCTTTACTTTAAGAATTTGTTTTCAATCTCTCATTAAATGCTTTGCGCATTCTATTTTCCTAAACAAATTCAAACTCATTTAACATTAATCAAAGGTTCAATTTACTTTGGGAGCTGAAATCTGAGATCTCCCTCTTCTACATTGAGTACAATTTCCTCAAGTAGAAAGAAACGGTCTCTGATAGAAGATTATCTGCTCATTAATGATGTTTGTTTCAGAGTCATCGCCCGAGAAGAAATGTCAAAAACAAGAGATGCTGTTTTTTCTAAGATAACAAAAAATATAAAAACCACTTCTGATGTAAGAAAATAACTGGAGGTGTTTCTGTTCTGTGCGTAAGTTTGCTTGGACTTTGTCCACTTGCAGTGTGCAGGTCCCTGCTTGGCTCTGTGACAGGGCACAGCCCGTTATGCAACAGACAGGAAAATGTAAGCACTATACTGATGTATGCTGATAGAAGGCAAGACAACAATATGTTATTAACAGTCATAACATTCAGACAATCATTTTGTTTAGTCCTTATTTCAACTTTAAAAAAATACAAAACCCTACCCTAACCCTATCCAAAAGTGATTTTTTTCAATCTAGAATAACAAATGGCATCTTCATAAAATAATAACTACTACTTCCTTTAGCTCCAGACAATATCTGCTACAGACCAATGTCAAAGGCACCAGGTATTTTGACACTATAAATTCTCTCCAACACTGATACTAAAAAACATGTACTTTAGACTTTTATTAAAATTGTTTGGCCTGCATGATAGGAGAAAAATACGCACTGTGCCTTAACAGTTTTCAACATTGCGATAAAGATATGAAGGTTGACACATAAAAGTTAATGAGTGCATTTAGCTTTAACTCATACTTGTGCTCACATCCCACAAAATTGTTCAAAATTGTTTTTTCACTGAATTTGGCACCATTTCATCTGAGGGTAGCTGATAGCTACACTGTGTGCTCTGATATGAACTAAAGCTGTAATCAGACAGTGAGGGCCCTATACTCAGTTATAAGATGTTTTGATGTCTTATGGTCAAACACATCCCAGAGCACTTATTGAAATAATTATATACTTAAAAAAGAAAAATAAGAGTCTGACCTGAGTCTCTAAGGTTAGCTTTATTCCAGTAGTAAGCCTCCTGTTCAGTCTCCATCACCGGTACACAGACGTGATGTACAGCCGGTCAGCGCTCCCTGCCCTCTCCTCTGAGTGCAACAGAGCTGTAAACCACACTGGCTCTGCTCCGTTATACACACTCATTACTATTTTACCAGCAGCGGAACAACCGCACTGACAGCTCCTGTGTCCCCGCATTAATAAGAGAAAAAGCAGCATCGCAGCTTACAGTGGTTTACTTTTACAATCTGACATCGCATGCAGCGGCCAGGTAGAGATAGAAGGCACACACACACACACAAACACACTCAAACACATCTACAACTACCAACAAATAAATAAGAGTCCATGGATGTCTGCTTAGTTCAGTTATGAGACTATCATGTTGCTTCCTATGACAAGATGATAAAGGAGAAAAGCAGTGATTCAAAATCTGATTTTAAATGTTTAATGGATATAAAAAGAGTTCTCATAATGAAGAAAACATAATAATGTGGCTAAACACATTTTATATTAAGATGTAAAGATTATTAAACAGTCATATATCCATATTCAGCTTTGGGACTCTTTCTCATGCTCTTCTGAATTGAAGATAGCAGTCAATACAGTTTGCTTAGTTCTTACAAAATTGAGTATTTGAGAAATTTGGGGATCTCCCTCTAGTTTTCTGAGATTTTTTTTGTAGGCAAAATGTTTTTTGTAGTACCAAAAGTACGGGAACCAAAGAGCACTCTAAAGGTTTTGGCACTGAAACTGAAAGTGTTAGCACATCTAGCACAAAGAGCTTTTTAAACCTTGACCTAAAGGGCTTATCACAAATTAAAAACTCTGAACTGAGAAAAGATGAAATAGTCCAAACTCATTAAAACTGGACATAGCTTTAGCTAATGTACTTTTTAACAGAGCAGTAAAGGAAGTCTTCTTTGTGCGACTTTTATGTATAGCCGTCAACAGGATTCAGAGAGGCTGAACAAGCATCATCTAGGACAATCAATATAATTCACTTGGAAATAGTGTTCAAGGCAACTTCACTGTCAACAGAAGTCTTTGTCAGCCACTTTGTTTGGCTTTAAGTCAAAAGTTGAGCAAGAAACAGTGTATGTGGAAGACTTCAATCTTAAATAAACTATATCACACCAAGATAGCTTTCTTAAGTTGTAGGTTAGGTCTGTTTATTCACTTTTATAGCAATGTACATGTAATGATGATATATCTGTTTCCTGTTTGACTACATTATGGTTTATAATACACCACATCAGAAAGCCATAATGTAATGACTTCCACTTGTTTAGCTGTGATTGAGTCTAAATCAAGCTCAGACTTAAATCTCAACGTTGACATTTGTATTTATCACCTAAAAATATCCTGCTATTAAACTTGACATAATGACATACCATACCATTTTTGGGTAACATACAGCAGTAACAACAATGTAACTACAAAGTTAACCAAAACAAAAAGAAGCAAAAAGCTAGCTGACTTTGAAGAGTGAGCAAAGATAAGTCATGGCTAGCCAAAGCTAAAAGAGCGAGCGCTAAAACTAGCTTTGGCAAAACTGGTTCTTTAAAACATGATTTCCTCTAGCTTCTTCATTTAAATAAGTAATACAAACAACTGAGTCACCTACAAACTGGGGATGTAGTTTGTGTTATGCATATGGGATACCATATGAAAAACGTAAAATAATAGTTAACAGGTTAAGGAGACTTGCTAAAAGGTAGCTAACTAAGTATTAG